CCTCCCCCTCAATTGTTACTGACTGCAAAAATGAATTTAGGAACAAAAGAGAGGGGGCTTCTTTTCTAAGATTCTTGTTGAATAACCATTTTTAGCGGTTCTACGCCATGAGGAGCGAGGAGCCGGCGGAGCCAGGCTACCACCCCACCCCCACAATTTTCCGGAGCCGGTGTAGCCAGGTCCCAGGCCACCCCACTCCTTCCCCACGATTGTTACCGATTGCTTAAGAATGAATTTAGGAACAAATGAGAGGGGGATTCTTTTCTAAAATTCCTTGTGTACTCGCCATTTTGATGGATTGATACTTATCGACCGCTATATATTGTTTTGGAAATATATAAATTCATAATTTCATTCAGTTCGCATGGCGTTGATCTACTGTTGAGTGTTTATTGCAATTTATTGCATTTTTTTTTACAACGATGCGGCGGTACACGTAGTAGCGATGAAACGCATCAGTTAACTCTACAAGAATTAAGAATAGGCCGACTTTTTTTATTTACTTATTTTTCCCTTCTTCAGAATGACAAAAACCCCAACCAGGGAATTGTGAGAAATGTATTACATGAACATAATATTAAAGAGCTCTTATTCAAGTAAGATTTGAAGAAGAAAAAATTGTTTTGAATTGAAGAGGCTGTGAACTACTTTCAGAACAAGGTTTTGATTGCATCACCTTTCTTGGGTTGACAAGGTTAATCCCATCTGTCAAATGTTATTTGTTTAAACAGCGGGAAATAAAAGTTCCTCTAATGCCCCTTGGTTTCATTCTTAATATCGATTGTTTTTAATGATGACGGTTTTTTTAAAGTGCCCCTGGTGCCCCTAGTGCYCCTGTGAGCAGCGCATGAGTAAAATGAGCAGGGCAGGAGCAAAAATGAGCAGCGCATGAGTAAAATGAGCAGAACAAGAGGACATCTCTTAGCGGTCGATAAGTATCAACCCATCAAAATGGCGAGTACACAAGGATTTTAGAAAAGAATCCCCCTCTCATTTGTTCCTAAATTCATTCTTAAGCAATCGGTAACAATCGTGGGGGAGGAGTGGGGTGGCCTGGGAC